CGGCGCTGCTTTCAGGGTAGACTAGATGCAAATTCGGGGAGAAACGCAGGCAAATGGTGTCAACTCTGGGCGCTCTGATTACCACCGGGCATGGAGCAAGCAAGACTCTCCACCCACAAACTGCATCCTGTTTAAACTCACTGTCGCTGTGGCTCAGATCCGAAGATTTCGGGAGCCAGTGTCTCATGGTGGGGGAGTGGTCGCAGGGAGGAGTGAGGCAAGGGCCGGAATTTGGGGGGTTCTAGCCAAGGGGAGAGGGAAGGGGGCACGCTGGGCGCTGTCCATGGTGCTGGGGAGAGCGCGGCTTCCTTTCGCTTCACTTCGCGTCCCCAAACAGAGCTCAGGTGTAAACGGGAACGAGGGAAAAGGGTTACCAACAACTCTGCGGCTAGGATTTTTTTTTCTCTCTCCGCAAATGTGGACAATACAAATGTGCCTGTACAATTAACAGGATTCTTGGAGGATTCTCCTCTTTATTTCTCCGTCATTACTGCTTAGCCAGACATCAGTGTTAGGTGGTCATCATAGGGTAGTGTCCTCGTTAAAATGTTCCATATTTCAAAGTAATGTAATCAGCATTCTTGATGTACAAAATAAAGAGGAAAGAAAAAGGATAATTTGAGACTCTAAACATATTCAAAGGCAATTAGCTATTTCCAGATTTCATAGGAAATAAAAGCACAGCATGACATAACCTGCTAGATAACGTGAGTTTATTGAGAAAGTATTAAATATATATAGATTCGACTTCACTTAAATAATTCTGTAAACTCCACAATTGCCAAGTGCTATAGTTATACTTTTGTAAGCAGTAAGAAAAAGGAGTGATTTACCTATTATTTTGTGTGTATATGTAAGTTAGAAATGGCTAAGATTTCATTCTAAGTTATAAAATGGTACCCTAACAATTGCATTTTTAAAAAATAAATTTGACTTTTTAAAAGACAGGTGATCAGAGAAAATACAGATAAAAAGTATTATAAAATTAGGGTAAAGAACTAAATAGAAGTATAACTACCTAGCAAGTGAATCACACTCTTGTAAAACATGCACACATGCACATATCATGTGGCAAAATTTCGGGTAGACTATTAACTATGTTTGGTTCAACTAGAAATGTGAAAAACAGGAAAATAATTAATCTTAATTGTTTTAATCATGAAAGTCTTACTTAGCCTCGGCAAGTTGAATCCATGTGACAACGAGGAAGGAAAAGGACTTGAATTCAAACAGCTGACACAATGATCAGTAGCAACTGACAGCATCTCATTTGATATTTGATATCAAGCACTAGATCAATATTTGTGAGATCAATGCAATTTTAATGGTTTTCTTACAAAACTATGAAAACCAAATTGTGACACTCTTTGCTAGGGTTATTTTTAGAGCTCGTTATTCCAGGGGATGATATTAAGTAATTTACTGACGCAAAGCAAAAGCAAAAGGAAAAACAAAAAACAACAAAAGCCACAACAACAAAACATCAATATTTCTTCAGTTGATAAATCCTGATTATCAAAGTATCCAGAAAAGGTGTGAACATTTATTGGAAAAAACACCATTTATTTAATTATGTTTAAAAAAAATATGACAATAAGCCTTTGAAAATTATTTGGAGATATGTGAAGATGAACTGGATCAGAGATACCATTTTTCAGACACAATGAGATTAGGTGATACTTGAGAAAAAAAAAAGAAAGAAAATGATAAAAAGAGAAAACCTAGGCCTTTTAGCTAGGGTCAATTCTCTCATGTGTGGAATTCAGTGGGAAATAGATTTTCTGCATCCTTGGCAAAGTAAAAAGCCAAGAGCCCTACCTGACACTCTAAGCAATGTTCCCACAAAGGTCAAATAGAGAAAAAATGTAAATAGATATAAATATTGTCTATTACTTTCCTTAATAGAGTTTATACTTTAAAAAAAAAACCCAATTAATCTAACTCACAGACACATAGTTCCTCAACCTATAGTATATTTTGACTCATTTGCCTATCAACTCATTTTGCTTGATAAAAATGCTAAACTTGAATTTACTTGTTCTTAGATTCAAATTTGAGGAATTTTCACCTAGAGGGATCCAAGAAGTTCAGTCCAAATAGCAATTCCTGGGGAGGGAGCTGATGGGGGTGTGTGGCAGAGGGAGTGTAACTAGGTGAACATTTCAAGAGAACAGTAATGAAGGTGAGATGTGGTGACCTTAGGTAGTGTTCGTGGCAAGCAGAAATTTAAGTTTTTAAGTTACAAGAGTAAGAAACTGTCTTTAATTTGTAATTCAACTTTAAAAACTTGGGAGAACTTGGTTTTTCACTTGAAGTAATAGTAACAGTTTAGGAAATTTCTGATGCCTGACCTAAAGACCTCTCATCCTTCAGATACAGAATAAAGTACTTCGAAACTGTGCGATGCTTATAATTTTTCCTCAAGTGTTTCTTATTTCCCGATGCTTTTCATAATGACAGTAAATTACCTGATGAAGAAACTAGCAGATCACTCACTTCAAATAAAAGGTGTTGTATTGTATGCTTTTAAATGAAATTCATATCTAAGTCCTTTTTCAGAATTAAATCACGCACCTAGTATATTCCTTAAGAATCTAGGTAAAGGCATTTTTTCCAGGATTTTAATAACTCCACAAAAAAGTCACTCTCTGTATGTCTCTCTCTCCTCTGTTGTATTTCAAATTTGGCTATAAACTAAGGACATCAAGAGTTTAAGACAATTTTTCTTTAATAAAATAAAGCCAACCTTACACACTACATACAGAGAATTTACAGATGAAATTGAACTTGAGGCATTTAAAAATATTTATTACAATGCCTTCCAAATTTGAACATGAAAAATTTAACAGAAAATAAGTTACAAACATTCATGATGACCGACATATACCGAGCACCTACTATGTTACAGCCACCGAAAAGACATAAACATATTGTATATGTTGTCTGAATATTTCAGGTGGAATGGACAAGAATGGGCATGCCCCATGCATGCATGTGTGTATGAGACATATACATATATATGTATATATACATATTTTTCTATTAAGTCTTTAAAGAAAACACCCTGAGTTATTTCAAAGAAGGAAATGAGCGTTATATTCAATTGTAGTTAACTCAGACTTCATTTTTGCTAATCATAATTTGACCAATAATTTTTCCTTATAACATGAAGGACAGTACTTAGAATATAAAAGTTTAGTGCACCCAAAATGCTGCTCTTCTTTAGCCACTTTGAAGTAATACTAGTGAGTCTACGATCCAGATCTACATGTTAATCTCTAGTTTTGCCTTCAAACAGAATTCAGTTACAAAGAACTTGGAAAGATTTTGAATCTATTCAGGAGAGGAAAACTCTTTAATTTTCTGAGGAGTAAAAACTCCCCAAGAAACTTCATATAGCGTCTTAGATTTTGCTTAGCATACGTGATAAAACATTGATTGTTGCAGTTTGGTGACCCATGAAATTTGGGGGTTAGTTTTCTCTTCAGACCAGAGCATATAATTATGCAAATAAAGAGCTGTCACTGATCTAGTGAAATACTCACAAACACATTGCACTCTGAAATTGGACAGAAAAGTGAAAATGGTTGGTGATGTGATGGTGCCATGTTTTTTTTTCCTGCCAAGTTTCTATCCAAGTTCATTATTCAAATTGTAAATTTTAAAAAGAGACATATCATTCTTGGGATTTTGGTTGTCTTTTCATTTCAGATTCTTTGCATTGGTACTGCAGGCTGGCCACAAAGTACAGTTCAACATTATTTTACCTATGACAGTTTCCCATATTATGCAACATAATAGTCAAGGAAGAAAAAGCTGAATGATCTGGAAGGAAAAATACAGGGCCTCTAGATTTCTTTCTAGAAACATGTTTCTTGTCTATTTCAAACAGAATTCAACTCCAACAATACAAAGAATATAGTGAAAGGTTTTTCACAATCTCAAAGCAAAGAACTGGGAAAAGTTGCCTGGAAGGCCTCATGGATTAAGTCAAATTTCCATTTGCAAGCTTTTTACATTCAAGGGGAAAATACTAGTCAGTGTGTGATGTCGACTTAATGGTCAACTTTATTTCAGGATGACTTTCTCCTATCTAATGATTAAAGCCAACTATATAATATTTGGTGACTTTAACCTTTGTGGTTCTTTTAATCACTACTCCTCTAAAACCTTTGTGCTAAGAATTAAGAGTTCTTCAATCTAATCATGTTCTTCGGCATCGAGGTCTCCCAATGCCAAAGATACCACTGCACAGGCTGTTGCATAATTTTAGATGTCTTGGAGGGTCCCACTGATGAAATCTGAGAAGGTTCATGTCAAACCACTGACTGCTAAAGACATCACTACATGAAAGATCAGTCGTGTGAAACTTTAAAAACATCGATCCAAATGAATCAATTAAATCAACATTCATCCCTCCTAAGTGTGAGGTTTAAAACTATCATTGTTGCTTTTTTTTTTCCCCATCCCTACATAGATTTTGAGATAAACGCTGGAATGCTTTGATGGCTACTTCTATTCTCAAATCTCCGTTAATCGACTTTGTGCTATTTCCCTCTTTTCAACATATTCCACATGGTGTACATTCTTTACTTTTAGTACAGTGCATGACAGTTGCAATGCTTTAAATCTAAAACCTCCTAACAAAGCTGACGCTTTAGGTAGGGTAGCTTTAAGCTCTGTGAAGTGTTGATTAAAAACCCTTTCCCAGACTCAAACTGATCTTTTTGGAGATTAATAGAATATTAGATAAAAGGAAGACGAACAATTCAAGAGACTCCCACTCAGTCATTCTATACAAGGAAGGAAGGAAGGAAGGAAAGTATTCAATTTTTGAAAGGGAGTACCTCCTGGAGTCTTTTATTTTATATTATTACAGCCCCTAATCAGTAATCATAAAATAACCACCTATTATACCCCCCCCTTTTTTGCCACCCATATTTCAAAGATGAGAATGTCTCACATTTATTTAAAGACACTTTTCTCCACAGAGGCATGGGGAAAGTTTTTGAGAAATTTTTACACTTTCTGTAATAGTAATTTTTCTTAAATGAATTAGAATTACAGACACCAACAGGAACCTGTTAGTTTACAGTAAAAACTATGATTATAACAAAAGACACACATGTTTGGATTGGAACTCCAGATAATGCAGAGAAACATGAAAAAAAAACTAACTTATTACCATACCCTCTCGAAGGAGTTACAGGTTTTAAGGAAGGAATGGCTGTAAAGTAAACATAAACAAGCTATTTTCAGAGTGGATACAGTACATCAAGGACCTATATACAGGAATTTGGGAGCAACTGAATCTCACCATACTCCTTTGGAAAACACATTTATTTATAAGGTACATTAAAGTTTATTTTATAAAATAGTTTAATGACAGGTGGTTCAAACTTCCTTGTTAAGAAGATATTTTAGATATTACAAACAAATGTCCTAAAAATGTTAGCTTTGTGAAAGGTGTAAGCCAAATAGTGACTCAACTGAAGTTAGGATATTATCTTATGGCAACAATAACAGTAATAATAAGTATCTAGAAGGTTAAAATATTGATGAGTACTGTCCCATCATTCCTTTTACATTTTTGCTTTTAAAACCTCTAGACAGTTTGTAAACAAAGAAATTTCTGAGCAAGAATAATACGCCACTGCTTGTTGGGAAAATTGCTTTTATTTTAAAATGGTAAGCAGAAATATATAGTATATAGGAAACTCCTGTGCTTTATTATTATTTCATATAAATAATAATGCAATCCAGGTTGAAGCACAAGGCAGAAACTTGAGAAAAGAACAATTATTACAAGTAGATGGTCTCCCTTTCAATATCCATGAAAACTTTTAACAACTGCATGTTTAGGTACCTCTAGAAAACTCCAAAGTAATTATCTGGCTTTTAAGTTTTGACAGGACGATTTTGAATCTGAGATTTATCAACAACGCCTTTCTTATTCCATTTGCTCTAAGAACTAAGTATATAATTACAATAAAAAGCCTGCATCCTAACTTTAAACCTCTACTCTCCTAAAATCCTGCTTAAAGAAGCCAAAATGGGGAGGAGATCAGAACAGAAATATCGTTAACACTGGCTGCCCCCAAGCAGGCGGGCTTGTTGTTACTTCAGAAAAACTGAGGTGAACAATATTATTACATTTATACCAACAGACCCATAATCAACAGGTTAAAAAATCTTACAAGTAATCTGATCAGTTATCAGTTGGTGGTCTGAAACAGTTTGCTTAGCTTCCCCTGGGTTGCCACAGCTCGGATCCACAAGTAGAAATTACATTTACACAACTTAAGTTTCCAAATAACTCTCTATAGATAGTTAAACAAGGCTTAAAAATCCAGTAGTTCCAAAGTATTAAAGGCAATTAAACAGTGATTTACTCTAGTTACAAGAAAGGTTTTAAAAAAGAGAGGTGAGAAAATTGGAAAGAAGAAATAAGACTGATTTAGTTTATAAGCTGAGCATATTTACTTTACTCTAATTCAGCTGCAGAAGCTTCACAAATTCAGCATTGCACAAGTGTTGGCTTTTTAAAAAAATACTGTAAAATTAGTTTCCTGTGAACATTTTATATACTGAAAACACCACACAATTTCTAACACTTTGAAAAACATATTCAATCCACATCAATTCTCAAACCATCTCACTGGAAGACACCATTATTTTATACAGTTCACCATTACTTCTAAAATAAGAAAGAGTGGATAAAAATGGTCAATATCACAGACCAATATGCTTGACATTGTTGGTGTTTCATATTTTAAGCCATCCAGGAGCTAAATAAAATGTCATTTTGATTTTTCCTCCTATGTTGTTTCTACTTAAATAACACCAAAAGATATGTAGATATGACTACAGGAAAAAGATTAATTTGCCACCATTAAAACTATAGAAGTAATGAATGTATGTGTATGCCAAACACAGCATGAGATATTATCAGTTTTAAAACTTGCTGAAATTGGTTCATAATATAAAAACATTTATCCATGAGGTGGTTGATTTTAAGTTATTTTTCTGAGGCATCAATTCTAAGTCATTTTGGGTACATTTTATCATGTCCTCAAATAAGGCAGGCATATTAATTGCTGCATACACTTTTTAAAAAGATGAAAAATATTAAATTCAGGTCCTCATCTATTAGAAACAGTCTTCACTAGGTAATTAAATTCTTCAAGTAATTAAAAATTGATAATGTTAAATTTTAATATTTTAATTTAAAAGTCAGCAAAAGCTTAACTTATTTTATCTCTTGGATTTCACAGTGTTGGCCAGATCTTGGCTGGATTAAAATACTTAATTGTTGAAACTGTAGGGCAAAACCCTCCAGAAGAAGTGGAGTGCTAACAATTATACTACTGGACTGAGAGGAGAAAATCTATCACAAGAAGTCTCTCTCTTCCCGTTTGAGCAGAAAACTGAAGGACTCAGTTGAGCCCCACTTAGTATTTTAGAAGGAAAAGGCTCGAGTATACAGTTCATTTTTCCTGACGACAATAAAAAATTCTAACCCTAACGGGGCCTAACTCCAAGAAAGCTCAGGATAGATCATTCCAGTAAGGATTAAAGACAATAAACTTTCTCCACATCAAGACTGAAGCAGCAAAATTTAAGTGTTATCTAAATTACAATGCCATTCAATATATATATTTAACAAATCAACTGTAATGATAAAGTTGGAAATTGCATTGAAAATGGGACCTTTCACACTTAAAAGATCTCATCAGTGTTTTAGTTTCAACGTCTCTTCTGAAATTGGAGACATGTAAAATCTCACATTCGACTGACAAGAATTTTCAGCAGTAATGCGGGTTCAGTACTTCACAGACTTTTATGCATTTTCCTTCTGGTCTCGAAATAAAAACACATCGTTAGGGAGAGAACAATTTGCACTCCTAAAACTACATAGTACATCCTAGCATTCATGTTCTGAATTTAAATTTGGCTTTTCGGGGGAGGGGAGGCGGGGGGCGGGTAGGACTTCCTAAGAAAAAAAGAGACAGAGAGGCATCAGACGCCCTCGGGGAAAAGCCTAGTCAAGATGGAAGTCTGAAGTCTAGAATAAAATTTAGCTCCTGTGCAGAGGGGGAAATGGACACGATCGCGGAGGGGAATGAGCGGCGGCTGCGCTGCGGCGGGTGATAGGACCACGCAGACGCCGCGCGTCCCGCAGCGCCAGCGCGGGCTCCGTCAGGGCAATTAGAGGCGCGGCGGCCGCGCCGGGCAGGGCGCTGTCAGCCTTAATCTGCGCGCTGACGGGCAGCGCGAAGCCCGCGCTCAGCCCGCAGGAAGCACGACCAGTGAACCCATATTGCTTTGACAGTTGCACTCATCTAGAAATAATGCAAAACGCTATTTAGATGTATATATCACGACCCTGTGCTCTAGGAAGAAAACAATCTAATGAGGGGCTGGGAGTCTGCTCGCCGACAGCAAGCAGTTAGGAGACGCGTGGACGCACGCTCGAGTGTGGGTCCTTGGCTTCCCCTCCCCCGTCTCGCTCGCGCTGCTCTTACAGCTCTTCGTGCTTTATTCGGTGGGAGCGTCGCGTCAGAGCCGGCTTGAGGGAGCTGGTCTTTGCCTCAGAGGCGGCGGTAAAGAATTTGAAAATAGACGGGAAGCTCTTCCAGGAAGTTAGCTCGTGACGGTCGGTGCCTGCAAAACACCACAGATTCGGTTAGGACGGGGCCTCGCGCGGGGCTGGGCCCCAGGCCCCGCGAG